GCCTGTGAGCATGCAGTTTTATTTCCAATTGTAATATCATCAGTTATATGAATCCATTTGAAAGTTTTACTGCTAAAGGTGGTACAAAGACATCCTTCAAATATTGGACCCCAGATTGGGAAAAACTATCTTCTTCTCCCACAGCCTGTCCCTCACTTTCTTGGAGTGCAATGTTGTTACAGTTTATCATTTGTTTTACTGAAAATATTTGAATTCTTCATTATGAGTCATTGCACTTTTTTTCCCCTCACTTGTTTTTGATCAGTGCAGGAGATGCATCACATGACAGTCCTGTACCTAAGATTGCAAGATAGAGGAAATTTTCAAATTCAAGGTGAGCTTTGTAAATGGCTCTTCATTTGCTGTAGTGAAAGCATAATCATCCAATAAGTCATAGGCTAGGTCTTCACTTGCAGTGCTGCAGCTGCACTGTTGTAGCGCTTTAGTCTAGACCAGTGGTTCCCAAATTGGGGTTCGTGAACCTCTGGGGGTTCGCGAAATGTTACAGAGGGTTCTCGGGAAAAAATTCCCTAATGGTGGACAGAGCTGTCCCTAGAAACCCAGGGCAGCATGGGGCCAGTAGCCTGGAGCCCCTGGACTTCCAAGAGCTAAGCAGATCAGAACAAGCATATCTATCACACTGAGGAGATTTAAACTTCAAGACTCCTTATAAGAAATGGAAAGGGAGGTGGATATTTTTTGCTGTTTTTAAAATTAAATAGGCAGCTAATATTGTTTTTAAAATTATTATGAAGAACAAGTTTAAGCTTTGTTGTAACGTGCGTTGTTTGTCTGGACTGCTCAAGACCTGAATGCTTGTGTAGGAGGAACTCTGAGTTGGCTTCTTAAATACCTTCATGCTGTTTCACATCTGATACTCCTTGATGAAACATAGGAGCCTTGTTTTATAACAGGCTTATTCAAAGTGATACAAGCTATGAAAGTAAGATCTTGGAAGAGTGTTGCCGTTTTCACAATGTAGTAAAAATACTATAATGATAAATAATAATTAATAATAAATAGTGTGTAATAAGCGTCCAAGATCACTGCTTTTATAATTTAAACTCAGGTAAAGGAGAAAATTCCTGGAAATATTCATCTTTAAGAGGGGGTTCGTGAGACACAACATTTTAGTGAAAGGGGTTCACAGATTGTTAAAGTTTGGGAACCACTGGTCTAGACACTCACTTACAGTTACGAGAGGGGTTCTCCCATGGCTGTAGTTAATCCACCTCCCTGAAAGGCAGAAAGATTGACAGAAAAATGCTTCCATTGACTTAGCACTGTCTACACTGGTCAACTTAACTACATGTTCAGGGGTGTGGATTTTTCAAACCCCTGAGCAATGTAGCTGGGCCATTCTAATTTTTTAAGTGTAGACTTTGGCCTCATGTGCAGGGACCTATCTTTTCTATATGTCTGCAAAGTGCTAAGTACACCTATGGTGAAATATAAGTAATTATTAGTGAAGGAGAATATCCAATACTTGTCAATCGCAGTAGGATTTTTATTATCTCTGTAAGCTACAATAAGTCACTAAAGGGCAACATAGTCACCCACACGCATGCTCTACTACAGGGGTGGGCAAACTCCGGCCTGCGGGCTGTGTCTGGCCCATCAGAACTTTTAATCTGGCTCTCAAGCTCCCCCCCAAGAAGTGGGGTTGGGGGCTTGTCCTGCTCCAGCCGGGTAGCGGGGTCAGGGGCTTTCTGCGCAGCTCCTGGAAACAGTGGCATGTCTTCCCTGTGGCTCCTATGTGTAGGGGCGGCCAGGGAGCTCTTCACGCTGCCCCCGCCCCAAGCACCGCCCCCGAAACTCCCATTGGCTGGGAACCGTGGCTAATGGCAACTGCAGGGGCGGTGCCTGCGGATAGAGCAGTGCACAGAGCCACCTGGCTGGTGCCGTGCCTCCACTTAGGAGCAGGAGTGGGGACATGCCGCTGCTTCTGGGAGATGCTTGAGGTAAGTGCCGTCTGGAGCCTGCACCCCTGAACCCGCACCCTCCCCCACCTCAAATCCCTGCTCCCACCCTCTGAACCCCTTGGTCCCAATCCAGAGCACCCACCTACACCCTAACCCCCTCATCCCCAGCCCCACCCCAGAGCCTGCACTCCCAGTTAGAGTCCTCACCCCTCCCTGCACCCCAACCCCCAATTCTGTGAGCATTCATGGCCCGCCATACAATTTCTATACCCAGATGTGGCCCTCAGGCCAAAAAGTTTGCCCACCCTGTTCTATTATATCACAACATGTTTTGCTCTCTCTTTGGGGCTCCACAGTTCATAAATATTTCCTTCCTGCAAGACCCACACTAAAATGCTGTCTTCACTGAGGCTTCATATTTGTCCTTCTGTGGACTCTTAACACACCAAATGCCACCAAATGATTGTTAATGATACATGGTATCCACCAGAATTTTTCTGTTTATGCCTTTTTCATAAAGGATGCATTGTCCGTTACAATGCTGGCGATGATGCCGAAATCAGTTCCCAATAAAATCTATTGACTACAATGGAGATAGGATCTGGCCCTTAATAATGACTTGTACCACCGTTGTGAATGAAAGTGATTGCATAATCTTAAAATGTGAGAAGGCTGGGATTGTGTAACACATGTGCCTAACAGGGAGATATCTCTTTAAGAGACCCACTGGGGTGGGGGGGAGGTAAGAATGAGCTGTGTCTGGTTCATTGTTTTTTGTTTGTTTGTTTACATTCTTTAACATTTGTTTATTTGTAATGGGACAAACTGTTAATCAAAAATATGTATTAAAAATTGATATTTTGTTTGTGAAAAGGCCCAATCATACAACTCTTAGATGCATGCAAGTCTCATTGAATTCAGTGGCAGTTTGGCATACACCAAGACCGCAGAGTTACATAGCATTAAGGAAAACAAAGGGAGAAAAGTGTTATGGAAATACTGATCATGATATTTAGAAAAACCATGTGATTAGTGCCGCTATATTAATGTGATCCATATAACTGCTATTCTTCAGAAAAATTAAGGATTTTGATTAGAGTTCTTTTAAACTCACTATTCCCTTCGTACTGTGTGTGTGTGTGTGTGTATGTATATATATTTTGTGATAGGGTTGGACCAGATGGCTACAGGAGAGTGATCCTATTGGGAGCCAGAAAGTGACCGCCCGCCCACTGCTAAAGGACCTCCCCCCAGCCTAAGGGGAGGATCCACAGGGCCTGGAAGCTCATTGTTCCTACTGGGATCCAGGAAGTGGGCAGGCTCACCGCTAAAGGATTCCCCCCTCCCCTCCCCCAGCCTAAGGGGGGAATCCACAGGACCAGGAAGCTAATTGTTGCTGGGCAGATTAAGCACTCCACATGCAGAAGCTTCTGGAATTGGGTGTGGTAGTTTTGGGTCTGCTCCAATAGGTTCCCTGTTGCTGGAGTCAGACTCCATGAGGGCTAGCAGTCAGGGCAGCTGCTTTGCAGAAGGCCATGTGCCCTGTGTGAGTTGGGAGAAGCTGAGCCCAGGAGCAGAAAGCAGGCTGTTGTCCCTAACTCTGAAGCATTTTGCAGCAGGCTATTGATACGGTTAACCCTCTAACAGGGAAGCATGGGAAATGCTAATTATAGCAAGGGGAAATTGGGAGGGGAAAATAACTTCTATTTTAATTGTAGGCTTTGAATGTTTTGATTTTAGCTAAACTGTTCTAGTTAAATTGTCTCAACTAGTCTGATTCACCAACTTTTCTTTAAATGTAGTAATGGAGAAAGTCATTTATATTTTCTATTCTCAGTTTTGTATTTTCTTGTAACAGGGTTTTCTTTAAATCTATACACTTAACAGAGTGATTGGTTAATCAGTTAGCTGACTGGCTAGCAGTGATTTCAGCAGAGGAAGAATCTGCATGGATTCCAACTGAAGATTCTTACAAGCAAGTGGAGGGAAGATGTTGTTTTAGACTCAGCAAACTGTATAGATTTGGTAATCAAAGACTAACTGAGACTTAGATGAACTAAACCTAAGCTTTTGGGAACTTTCAGTTTCTTCTCACTGTATTTCTGTGGGGACTGGACTGTTCAGATTTTAACTTGTTTTCTTTATGTATAACTGAAGATAATTAACTGCGGATTATAAAATAGCCATGTCATGCTGTAAAAATTAGATTATTTGTTTATCATAAAATTTTATAAAGTTATTTAATTAAATTCATTTGTTTAGTTCCTTTTGGGACTTGAATGTGGGGAGGTTGACCCTGTGCAATCCTTGCTGAAAATCCTTAGAGACTGAACTATGGGTCTCCAGCTACTTTCTATGGGAGTTTTTTTGTTTTTGTTTTTAAGGCACTGGAGACGGGAACTGAAGTGAACTCTAGTCCACACAAAGGTTACAACTGCATGACATCAGATGTGACTTTATTTGTTCCAATCAAGTTAAGTAATTACACCTATGTTATTTCACCATGCTGTTTGCATCCTCCTGCTCTACCTCAGTTATGTATTTTGATATTTTTTTTATGACTGTCAATAGAACTATGACCTACTATGAGCTAGATTCATTACAGGGTGAAGAAATCTGCCTTCCTCCCGCACTCACTTGAATCGTGAAATTAGGATAATTTTTCAAGCAGCCCTGAAACTAGAAACTTCGCTGTTTTACATCTTCATTTTTTAAATGTTTGATAAACTGAATTGCACAATACAAATACTTTGATTAAAATAGTTTTAAATGATTTTTAATCAGATTTGACAGCTTTTTATTTAATCAAAGCAGAGAATTTTCTTCTAATAGAAATGTAGGAATTGCCATTCTAGATCAGACCAATGGTCCATTTAATCCAGTATCCGGTCTCTGACAGTGACCACTACAAGGTACTTCAGAAGAAGGTGCAAAACAGAATCTGGCAAGAACAGGGCAGTGGGCAATTACAAAAGATAGGTTTATGCTACTGCCATTTTACTTTCATTGGAAGGTGTCACAAGATAGAGGCCTTTAAAAAAAATTGGCATATCCCAATTTCTGAAGCATGTTTTAAAAGAAATCTTGATGCTATCTTTAATTTTTTCTTGGCAGGTTCTTTGACTTTCCTATGTCAGGCTCTTTCAACCTCAGACTTTAACAATCATTATAAAAGGTGTTGAAAATATTGAGGAAATAGATCTTAAGGCTGACATCTCTCTAAATCAAGCAAATTACACTTGGTCCAAAACAAGAGAAGTATTTAATTCTGAAGAAATAATTCAATCCTTTTCAATTTTATAGCCAGAGTTGGTAGCACTGCATATAGTTGAAGTTGCCTGATACTTTCCACTATAAGATCCCATTTTCACTTGCTCATAGCTTTGCTAAACTTTAAGTGCTTGGGCTGAAAGTTTCCATGCTGGGTGTCTGCCATAGGCTGTTTTTTGTTTAGTTTAGTTTAGTTTAGTTTGTTTTGAATTTTCAGCTAAAATGGGTCAGCTGTTTCCAAGAATGAAAATGGGGGAAACAGAAAATACACCATTTTGCCCATGTTAACAAATATTATTACAACTGCCATGCTGAGAAGCTCTAGCACCTCAATGCTTTTGGAGCAGGGACTTGAAATTTGGCTGGACATTGGGGTGGTGGAGAGGAAAAAGAAATCACACTGGTGCCTTGGGATAATTCAGTCAAATTTGGGTAAATGAGGAGTTTTTGAAAAAAGTCTCAGTTCACAAATGTTCAGTAGAGATCTGTTGGAGTTGGGCCACCAAATTCTTTGAGGATTTTTCTGTATGCACTGAACATGCACCATCCCAGGAATGCAGAGGCTGAGCAGGACTTTCCCTGTAATTGCTTCTTCCAGCTCCTGAGGGCTACAGTGGCCCCAGGCAAAGGAAGTGAGAGCAGGGAGACTCTTTTCTGTGCTGTACATACTCCCTCTGCTGACACCAGCCTGGAGAGATGGAGGGTTGGATTTTCATTGTTGCCAATTTTTGCAATTTTATTGTAAATCTTTCAATATTTGCTATTTTTCTTAAAGTCCTAGCTCCTGGAGAGATGTGATTGGGTGAGAATCTCAGTTTTCATTTTTTTATTTAAAAAAATAGTACATTTCTAGTCCTCATGGTTGTGGCAAAAAGCCTGAAATGAAAATATGATTCAAATGCACCCAAAGGCTCAGAAACCATATGAGAAATAAAAACATTAAACAAATCTTATGATTTTAAAGCTACTATTGTGATTTTGGGGGTCAGACTTATGATTTTTGAACACTTGGTTGGAAATGCTGTTACTCCTACAGAAAAATATGTATATTTTACAGGGCTATATTGATCACTGTTAAAATACAATGGGCCTTAGACAAATGTAAGTCACATTTTAATAAAGCAGTTAGAGCGTGCATTTGTTGTGCATTTAAAAGTTGCACACTAAAACTCACACTGACTTCAGTGGATGGAATGAAGGATCGGACCCTTAATTGTAGAATATTTGTAAAGCATTTTAAAGATGAAGTCATAAGCATCAAGTCGTCTTTTTCTTGTAATAACCCAGTTATTTGAATGACTATGTTTGGTTCATTCTGCCGATTAAAAATTGTCAGTAAAACTTTATATTACTAACTAAAGTAAATTGTAGTCCCTGCAATTAAAATTTAGGAGATTTCAGAACATAATACTTATATAGAACTTTTCATCAGTAGTGCTTAAAGGCCCAGATCCTCTAAGGTATTTAGGCATCTAATTCCCACTGAAATCAAGGGGCACAGGGCAAATGTTATCCCCATTTTATAGATGGAGAAACAGGACAACTGAGAGATGAAGAGATACGCCAAAGGTCAGTGGCAGTCAGGGACAAAACCCAGGATTCCTGCTGACGTGATGTATGAATTAATTTTTAAAAAGGCTAAATTTTTAGCCAAAAATTACAAACATAGGGATATACATAAGGAAAAGTATTCCAGTCTGTACAGGAGTTTGCCGGGGCTCGACCCGCTCTGGGGCGGCGGGGAGCCACACCGACTCACTACCTGCTGGGGCTTGAGTGCTTTGTCTGGCTGCAGGGTCTCGCCCGGCAGCCCTTGCAGTCCTGAAAGATACAGGAAGCCCGACCCTGGCTCAGGGTGGGCACCAACATTATGGCAGGGCTCAGACCCTTAGTCAGGGTTGAGCAACAGTAATAGGCCTGAGCCGCAACAGGCCTGGGAGAGGGGGAGACTGCCACCCACAGGTTGGGTGGCAGGGGGGGACGCAGGCCCTCCCTCTCCACTGCGTCCCACTGCCCTAGCAGCAGCAAAAGACCCGCTGTTTCATCAGTGGGGATCCTGGCCGCAACATACTGACATCGCCTCTGGCAGTGCTGCAGCCAGACTGGGGTCGGCTGCCCCCAGGCTACTTCCACATTCCCCCTCTGGGCCTACCTGGGTGCTGGCATCAGCCTCGGGGGGATCCTGGACCATGGGTTCATCCGGCCAGGGGTTGTTTGGCAAGTCTGGGAGCGTCTCCGGATAGGAGGCGCAGGGCAGGCCCGGCGGCTCCTCAGGGTAGCGGGCGCAGGGCAGGCTATGGGGAGCGTGAGTGCATCTCCCAATAAACAAGAGTATTTTAAAGTCTTCCTATGAGAATGCCTGTTGCATGTCATTGCAGAGTTGGGGTTGGGATACAGCAAATACTCTGTTCTCTCCTCGCTCCTTCACTTGTGTCTTTCCATTGTAAATGCATCAGGCAGGAGCCTGATCTACAGTTGTACAATGCCCTGGACATTTACAGAACTAATGATTACCACCAAATTTAGTCTTCAGTGAAGGATTTGTCCATACCAAGTTGCAGGTTTTAAACATCAGTTATTTTTACTGTAGCTCTGTTTGTGGATGTATGCTCTGTTTTTGTTTTTTTAACAATGAGAATGGTGTTTGCTTTTCATACTTACATAACTCAAATCGCTGAAAAGAATTTGCTCAAATTTAAACAAACACCAAAGCACATTTAGGCAGACCTCAAGCATGGACATGGACAAGTTCAACCCCAAAAGGTAAATGTTATGAGCATGCAAGAACAGAGGCTTACATGAAAAATAGCCTGCCATTTTATCTTTAGCAGGCACAAACACACGTTTAAGGGGACTACTCGTAGTGTATAAAGTTAAAGGTTTAAGTCTTTGCAGGACTGGGGGCTAATATTGTATTTCAGATACCTGTATGGTGATCATCTGTAAACTATTAAAACTTAAACAAGTAACTTTTTAAAAGGGCTTCTTATGGGGGAGGGAAGCAAAAGGGGAAGAGGAGAACCTGACATCACACAAATGTTGACTCAAAGACATTTTAAAATGCATGCAGTAATATATGACATGTCTATCTACAGCAGCTAGCAGGTGTTCGCTTTTATTTTCTCCTCAGAGATATAGCTTGTAATAAAACTTTGTGTACACACACCACACCCCCATACACATTCTATTTTAAAGTTTCATGTTTTCTATTCACCCCCTCAACATTTACATTTTTCCATTAAAAATCCTCTTTATTCTTTTTTGTTGTTTAACTAAATCCTTGCCTATTTTTAAGTATATCAAACACCTGTGTCATAGAGGAAGGTGTATCATCCACCTTCTGCAGCTGGAGAAACTGAGGCAGCAGCCACCCCGGACTGCCCCTCTACCTCGTGCGTCTCTCACCAGCCCCCTTCCCGCCCCACCCCATGTGACTGGCGAGTAGCTTTTCCTTTTGAGAAGAGGGATTTGGTGGGGATCACTGGCGTGAAAAGGCTCAGCCATGGGCTTGTCAGAACGTTGCACTCAGCGGGATGTCTCCAGCCCCTGAGCCTCCCATTACCCTGCTCAGCATTTCAGGCTGGTGGCCACGGCAGGGACCCTTTCTGCTGAAGGCTCAGCTGCCCCCTCCAACTAACCTTTCCTAGAGCAGATGAGACCGTCCATACCGCCCGGCTGCCTCCCGCAGAGCCTCAGGAGACAGGGAGACAGACCCGAACCCTTCTCACCCCCGCCCTCCCATGGGCGGGCCTCGGGGACCTGACTGGACGGCTCCTGCGTCAGTCAGCGGGCAGGGCACGGCCCCTGGGGGGGGATTACACCGCCTGCGCCCGGACTGCAGCGCTTGTCCCGGGAGGTGCGGGCGCTGCCGTTGCTCCGAGCCGGAGCCATGCGGGTAGGAGCGCGCTCGGGGATGCTGCTGCCGGGAACTGGGGGTGGGGACGCCTCTCTCAGCCCGGGCGGGGCAACACCGGCACTGCACCCCTTCCCCGGCTTTGCCTTCCCCGGCGGGCTAACGGACACCGGCCGGCTTCAGCCCGGCGTCTCGAGCGAGGGGCGGTGGGACAAGGAGGCGCTGAGCCCCTGGGGCCCGCGGGCCGCGGCGAGCGGGGCTCCGTCCCCCGTGTCACACGGCGTCTCTGTTTGCTTCCAGGAGGCGGGCAGCCTGTGCCTGGCGCTCCTGCTCCCGGTGGTGGCCGGGTTGGAGTTCAGCTATCACCACAGCGAGCAGCTGGAGACCTTCCTGAAGGAGGTGCACCAGCAGCACCCCTCCATCACCGCCCTGCGCAGCATCGGGCGGTCCGTGGCAGGTAGGCTGCTGCCGGGCCAGCTCCAGGGCAGTTTGAGAGCTGGGGGGGCAGGGGGGGTCTGTCTGTTATAAAGCATTTGAAGAGCAGCCAAAATAAAAAGTCAGACAGTGTAAAGATGTTTATCCGTATGTTAATTCATTAATCTATGACGAATGGCTAGTGAAACCCACGTCTGATCTAACTGCACCTCCTTGACTTATGACTTCTAGCCAAACACTAAATAATTCTCAACTCAGTATTTTGTGCCCTGGAGCAGATGCTTTGATATTTGACATACTCAGGTAGTTGATTGCAGTACAAGTAAAGAGCTTGGCGACTACTCTATTTTTGTAGTGCCTAGCATCTGTCTACTTAAATCTGCCCCTTCAGCGAATTGTGTGTGTGTGTGTGTGTGTGTGTGTGTTTAAATTTAAATTGTTACTACAGCTTGAGAGACGCAAAATTCCTCAATGCAGCATTTAGTACAGTGTATATTAAACCACGATGTAACTTCTCCTTTGAAATATTGCTCTGAAGTTAGACAGTTCCTGGGCTACAACTTCAAAAATAGAGCTGATTCCAGTACACCTCTACCCGGATATAACGCTGTTCTCGGGAGCCAAAAAATCTTACCGTGTTATAGGTGAAATATGTCACACTTGCTTTGATACGCCGGAGTGCGCAGCCCCGCCCCCCCCAGCACTGCTTTACCTGAATTCGTGTTATATTGGGTCGTGTTATATCGGAGTAGAGGTGTATTTTTAAAATGGGTGTAAGATGTCCAACTTACTAAAAGTCCAAGCCAGTCAGAGCTACAACAATGATATTGTAATGTGTATTTTCTAATTTATGGATAACTTTAAAAGATATATATTCTTCCTGGATTCACTCACTAGTCCAACAAATACAAGACTGTAAAAAATACTTAGGTGCTGAAATCAAGACTATTGTGTCCCTCATTTAACACCGACTCTCAAACTCTTTGGGAAAATATAGCCAGTTACAGCTTGAGGCTTCTGCCTTTATGTAGATAGATTAGCTTGATTTATCTTTTAGATTTCAGCACTGTCTAAGATACACATAGCTGTGCCTGGGTTTTTTTATTTAAAGAAATTTAAAATCTCAGTTTAATAAGGACATTAGTGCGCACCTACATTTATGCATGTCTTGTCAAGTGTTCTGAAAAGAAATTTATGTACAGTACTTATCATTTGATCAAGGAACAATGAAATTATTCTAAGAAATACGGTATAAAGTTAGAGATGAGGAATTACATTCTTGAGAAACATCTGTTCACATAATCCTGATTAATCTGTTTTTGCTTAAGCAAGAGCAATTGTAGCAATGATCAAATCTATGATTGTGTTCTAGATAAAGCTGCATCATTATAGGCAGATTAGCATGAAGAATTATAGTAGCTAGAGTTGCTCTTTCATGTATGGTTAAAAATAAAGGTAAATGTGTGACTTCATATTTTCTGACTGCAACAGTACTTGTCTGGAAGAGAATTTGATTTTTAAAGTCCAGTCTCTTCTGTTTTGGCTAGATATCAATCATCATTGGTATTAACTGTGAAAGCAGCTGCCAGACCACTCACTCTCTCTTGATTTAAGGAAATAACTGATCAGCAAGTAATGTTAATGCACTTTTAATATTTGTATCTTGAGGGATTTTAACTGTTAAATATAGAGCCAAATCCTGCCTTCATTGCCATCCCGGGACCGCACAGGCTTCTGTGTGGCGAAACTAAAGTTGAACTTGGACCCTCTCACAAGACTAAACTTTTCTAACTTAAGTGCTTAAAATATGGCCCCTAAATAAATATTTAGGCACCTGAAAAATCAGATCCCTTCATTTTAGAAGAACTGAGCACGCACAACTCCCATTGACTTAAAACCCTAAACTGGAAATGCACTTATCCTTTGTCAGTGAGCAAAGATTACCAAGGATTTTGGCATCCCTTTTCCCTGCTCTGCTTAAGCACATGGGAGAGGTGGGAGCCAAAAGTGTTGTCTCAGGAGCGCCCCCCTGCTCTGCCTGCTAAACTTTTTTCATTTTGCATGATGGGAGAAGCACTTTGCTCCCTGCCCTTCCTAAGCACTTTAAGCAGAGTAGTGAAAGAAGTAGATAGGCACTGAACAATGTATCAATCCCACATAGAGCAGGGTGGGGCAGACAAATGGAGAAGATCGGGAACCCGGCAGGAGAAGACAGCAGTATTGCATTTTTCATCCACCACAAGTATTTGGAGGAGTGGGGGGAAGTGGTATCTCAGGCCTTGGCTACACTTGCAAGTTGCAGCGCTGTAAAGCCGCCCCCAGTGCTGTAACTCACTCCCCGTCCACACTGGCAAGGTATTTGCAGCGCTGTATCTCCTTGGTTGCAGCGCTGCATGTACTCCACCTCTCCGAGAGGAATAGCGAGTGCAGTGCTGCCGCTGCAGCGCCAGTGTGGCCACCCAATGCACTGTGAATGGCCTCCAGAATTATTCGACAGTATCCCACAATGCCTGTTCTAGCCACTCGGGTCATCAGTTCAAACTCTACTGCCCTGGCCTCAGGTAACCAACCATGTGACCGACCCTTTACATTCCCCGGGAATTTTAAAAATCCCCTTCCTGTTTGCTCAGCCCAGCGTGGCGTGGAGTGCTATCAGCGAATCTTTCCAGGTGCCCATGCCTCCACGCGCCAAGTGAGCCCCAGCATGGAGCAATGGCGAGTTGCTGGACCTCATCAGTGTTTGGGGGGAGGAAGCTGTCCAGTCCCAGCTGCGCTCCAGCCGTAGGAATTACGATACCTTCGGGAAGGTATCAAAGGACATGATGGAAAGGGGCCAGGACCGGGACGCCCTGCAGTGCAGGATTAAAGTCAAGGAGCTGCGGAATGCCTACCGCAAAGCCCGCAACGCAAACGGCCGCTCGGGTGCTCCCCCCGCGATCTGCAGATTCTACAAGGAGCTAGATGCGATACTTGGGGTTAACCCCACCTCCACTCCGAGCACCACCATGGACACGTCAGAGCCGGTGTGGTGGGGGGGAGGAGGAAGAGGAGGAGGAGGAGGAAAATGGGAGTGGTGGTGGTGGGCCGGATGGAGACACCCCAGAATCCCTGGAGCCATGCAGCCAGGAGCTCTTCTCGAGCCAGGAGGATGGTAACCAGTCGCAGCAGCCGGTACTTGGTGGAGGACAAACAGAAGAGCAGGTTCCCGGTAAGCATTTTTTTTTTCCCGGGAAGGAATTTTTTCGGTGCGGGCTCTTTGGGAGAGGAGGATTAAGCATGCATGCCTAGATGTGGAGTAGTGC